GGCAAGATGTAATAATCTATACGAGAAATCAGTGGATGAAAGGTTGATCAACAGGCAAGATGTAATCATCTATACGAGAAATCAGTGGATGAAAGGTTGATCAAACGGCAAGATGTAATAATCTATACGAGAAATCAGTGGATGAAAGGTTGATCAACGGGCAAGATGTAATAATCTATACGAGAAATCAGTGGATGAAAGGTTGATCAAACGGCAAGATGTAATAATCTATACGAGAAATCAGTGGATGAAAGGTTGATCAACAGGCAAGATGTAATCATCTATACGAGAAATCAGTGGATGAAAGGTTGATCAACAGGCAAGATGTAATCATCTATATGAGAAATCAGAGGATGAAAGGTTGAGGTTTCACCTGAAAGCAAGAAATAGTCTCCACGTACATATAACTGGCATGTATTAATGTATAGGCACTGACATAATATTTCTTATGATTGATACCTCTGAGGAGACACTAAAATCTCTAAACCTGTTTTTTCTGGAGAGGAGAAGGGTCAGAGGGATTTGATTGAGGTGTTTAAGATTATTGATAATATAGATCCATCAAATTTTTTGTTTAGCAGCGAAAACAATAGGTCAAGGGGTCATAAATTCGAATTTGGCAGCGTTGGAGTCGTCTGCAGTTTAGACAGTATTACTTTTCAAACAGGATGGTTAGCTTTTGAAATGAGCTGCCTTCAAGATTGGTGGAGACAGAAAATTTAACTGAATTCAACAAAAGATTGGATGAATACATGAGGGGTGGTTATAGTTGGGAGCTGGAAGGGACATCCTTGATGGGTTAATAAAATCCCCTTTGTCCCTTTTAAAATTTTATGAATTTTTATGAATTATGAATTTACAAGTAGTTAGGGTTATTCCATTCTTGGGATACATACGATAAGAGATCCTGAACCTCCATTGTTGTGGTACACAAAAACAAATAATCAGGGTAATGAACTTCAATTATTATATAGGGTTATATTAACCTCCTTATAAAAGCATATAATCGGGATAATGAGGTCCCATTGTTTTCGTATATATGATAGGGGTTCACGAATCAGCTAATCCGGGTACAAATAATCTCCTGTTGTGGTATTTTAAAAGTTTATAATTGGAGTAACAAGCTTCCAGTGTTGTAGTATATGAAAGTAAGTATTCGTAATGAAAGAGGTACGTAGGTTTAGTTATGTTTGTCTATGAAAATATATAGAAGCAATATTAAATGAGTTAATTTTCAAGCTAAAGTAACATTATTATCACAACCCATAACAGTATGGGGGGGGGGACTATTATCATCGTTTATTTCGGTTTAAAACCGTCAGGAGGAAAATCACATAATTAATATCAAAGGTTTCACCTTTTTTGTTACTCGAATGTCCAATAAGATGTTTTAAATATTTTTCTTAGTAGCATGTTCGTTTAACCGTAGCCGTAGCTAAGATGCGGCCACTCCACGGGAAATATTGCGTATGAAGTGGAAATAACTCGAGAAGACACTAATGCTCTGGTGTCAGGAAACATAAGTAATTTGTTCTTCAGAATGTTTCACAATATTCTTATCTATTCTTATCTTTTCATAAAAAAATAAAGTTTTGTTTGTTTGTTTTAGTGCAAAACAACGTAAAGAGCTAATTGCACTATGTTTATTTTACGGGGCTCGAACCCCGTATTTTAGCATGGTAAGTCCGTTGACCCACTGGGAGACAACAAGTAGAGAAAGAGTTCGATATCGTATGCAAATCAGTTACATTTGTATCTAAAATATATCACAGAAATACAAGTAACCATTATAATACATTTATAACAACGATTATCAAGACACATTCTGTCGTTCTCCACTGTGTAGACTTCGAACCATTTTCTACTACCTTTCAATATCAAACACTCTCGTGCGTACGTACACTCACACTTACCAGCTTTAATCATAATTTCATTATATATTATTCAAATTTATTGTCTTCATCTTTAAATATATATGTGTAAGCCCCCCGCCAGTGGCAGAGTGATATGTCTGCGGAGTTACAACGCTAGAAACCGGGTTTCGTTTCGATACCCGTGATGGGAAGAGCACAGATAGCCCATTGTGTAGCTTTGTGCTTAATTAGAAACAAACAAATATATATCTATATATATATATTGTTCATTTCACACGTCCTCTATTGGAGAAAACTAGTACTACAGAACATTTCTAGAATCTGTAAGTGAAGTGATAAAATATTTTTCCGCATGAAACTCTGGTTTCTCTACATAAGTATCCAAAATAAAAAACGTCAAACAAACAAAAAATTCCAAGAATTACCTATATATATATTCTTTTCAAAACTGTTCGTTTCTGATCCTCCCCCCCCCTAGTGGCAGGCACTTAGCTAAATAAACCAACAATGACTATTACATAAATTATAAGGGTCTGAACACAAATAGTACGCAGGAACCCACATTCTGTAGTTGAAACAACATATTAAATAGTTACCCGCTATGATAAAGAAATGATCAGTTTACAATACCAGCTCATTAAACTCGTGTATAACACAAGTTTTAAAACAACAAAGGCACAATGTACGATTTCAGCTTATCTGTAAGACTGGGGGCTTATAACGCTAAAATAGGGGTTCGATATCAACGGTGAACAAAATACAGAATTATTGTGAACTGTTTAAAAATATTATCACAATAATTTGACGTTATTATATAACAATGAAATACAGCAGAATACACTAAGAAAATATTTTTTACAATATCTTATATGAAATAACATCCAATCAGAAGCAATCGTTTTCTTTAGGAACCTGTTCCTTAACATGTACCAATGTTGCATAAATAATTATTTTATTTGTGAGTACTATTTTCAGAACTTGCAAGTTAAAAAAAAAGATTTATAAAGTCCAGGGACAGAGCTAGGAATACTTTTTACATAATATTTGCCTCGCTGATACAACCGAGTCCTAGTTTCTTAGAGCAGAAATAAGAGATTATAAGCCAACTTATCCATGTAAAACAGCACAATTTAATGGATGTTTTAATTACTTTGTTGTTTATTTCATATTAATTTAGTTTATATTTGTTTCTTGACATCATTAAATCATGTTTCTGTTGATGATATAAATAACTTCATAATGCGTCTTTCAAGCTGTTTTTTTTTCTCTTTTTTTGTAGACATATAACAGTGAGAAACAGCTACAAAATTTTTGGACGTAATGATCAACACTGCACATGACTCAATACACGTTGTTTAACAAATGGGTTAAAAATTACGGCAGCACCATCTAGGTTTTTATGTAGTATAAACGTACCTCTATACTGATGATCTTAAGGGTTATGTTCGATGATCCAAATTCATGAAACGCTGGATGGTTCGTGATGTTCAGTTTTTGTGCCATTGACCATTCGCCTACCTTTATAAAAGCGGTGTTAAATTTTATTAGATAGTCATATTAATTATATAAGTACATATTAATTTACATTTGATAAGTAAAATTATTATAAGGTATATATTAATTTCTATTGGGTAGTCATAATAATTATAAAAGTGCACATGAATTTATATTAGATAGTCATAATTATAAAAGTATATATTAATTGATATTAATAGTCATAACGACTATAAAGATATACATCCATTTCTATTGGATATATTCATAACAATTATAAAGTATATATTAATTTCTATTGGATCGTCATAACAATTATAAAAGTATATATTAATTTCTATTGGATCGTCATTACAATTATAAAGTATATATATTAATTTCTAATGGATCGTCATAACAATTATAAAGTATATATTAATTTATATTTGATCGTCATAACAATTATAAAGTATATATTAATTTATATTTGATCGTCATAACAATTATAAAGTATATATTAATTTCTATTGGATCGTCATAACAATTATAAAGAATATATATCAATTTCCATTGCCTATTCATAATGATTATGAAAGTGTAAGTCAACGTTTAATAGGTAATCACAAACATGATACTAAACTGTAGTACTCATTACAAGACATTTGTAGACCAAACTAACCTTTTCAATTTCACTTTGTCTAAGTTTTAACAAGTCTAACTTCAGATTAGTACGTATTCCTTCTTTGAACTGGATTTTTCCTGTTAGGCCTCTGAACTCCACCTTTATTATAAAACAAATATTTGGGGAAACAAACTTATATCTCACACCTAAAACTAACAAGTAAATTATTAAAGAATGTTACAGATACTGACTAATTGTCTGGACGATTGGTAGTTAGAACATTTAATCTAGCCAATTACGTGTTTTTTAATTCATTCCTTTTCCAGTCGGTTAATAATAATAATAACTATGGATTCCTGTGAACCGAACTCCAAGGGAAAGTCCTAAGCAAATTGTTTAAAAATTCCGAGTGGACCTTTGTTCAGTCAATTTGGTTTTACTACGTGAATGTGGGATTACGACTTCTACCAATTGACATTTGTATTTGTCTTGGACATATCAAGGAAGTAAATTTTGTTCTTGGCGTCAGTGCACTAAATTTGCTATTGACCAAAGTACCCTACATTTATCGTTGGTCGTACGATCTTAATGACCTAATTATTTAGAAACACTTCAATTATTTCTTATTCCCAAGTTATATAAAATTTCAATAATAACAACATAATTCAAATAATAGTTTCATTATTCAAAGGTATTACTCTTTGAATTTATTAATAAAATTAAATAACGAGAAATAAAAAGTAGATAAAAATGCTTTCTCCACTTGTTAAATGGATTTATATTGCAACGTTTCGGTCTTTGCCTGAAGTGGGCCTAAAACCGAAACGTTGCAAAATAAATACATTTAGTAATTGTGTAGAAAGCATTTTATTTACATTATTTGTTCTCGGTGTTTAATTTTATTAATAATTCAAAATATTTCAAGTTGATTTATTTGACGTGGACTTTTGTTACATGTTTGATGAAATTGTTCTTATATCAAAAACACTATAATTAACGTTTAAGCAAAATGGTTAAGAGTGAGGGTTCTCCATGGCCCCTTGTCTCCAACTGCGGCTAACGAGAATTACGTGAAACTGAAGAAGCGTAATTTACACTTGAGTGTAGAGATATTTGGTAAAAACGAAACGGCCAACCAGTGAACCTTATATATATAATTAGTATTGTCATATTCTACTAGTTTCGACATACGGCTTTTTGAAGCGATGGCTGTACAGGTCTGCATAAGGCCGCGATGGCGCTGGAAACAGTCCATTTTGAAAACGAGGCTTTTTGCTCTCAACACGTTTCCCAATGTTGCGATAATCAAATTGGACTAATAATTTGGATAATAAAAACTAAATCGCTATCCCTCACACAGCGAAGTGAAAGATACTATTTACAAGCAACCAAAGGCTCCAAAGTCACCGATTTCACAAGAATATAAGCTCTAAGTAGGTTCATATATTCATGATTTGCAAGGTAAGTCATAAATAAATGTGTACCGTTTTAAACTTACAGTTACACATTCACTGTTGTTGATTTTTGTGGCTACAACAAATTCATAGCTACCAACCGATTCATATGCTCGTCGAAAAATATAACATAAGGCAAGTTACGTGGGAAGTTAGGCTAAAGAGCGAATTAGGCCTAGGAAGTTAGGCTAGGGAGAGAGCAGATGGAGTTAGGCCTACACTGGTTGCGTAGAATACTGTTGAAAAATAAATATATTATAATATAAAAGAACAAATATTGACCAGTGTATTTACTTTACTTAAAGATTTTTACCCTATAGCACTTGAATGTAAGTTCCACATGTGTTTCAGTAAAAAATATCATCTTACTGTTTTCAAACACTAAAGCACCAAGCGTCAGTGACTTTCAGCTAACGAATTCTTTTATTATATTCTAATTCTATACAGCCACTCGTTCTTAGAGAAATTAAACATGACTTACCTTAAACAGTGACTAGCGTACCGGATTATCGATCTAATGTTTATGGTTCGCGTCTCGTTACCACGGCAGAAAAAATAAAAACAAACTAGACTTTTGATTTGTGGGTGCGTTATTTGATTAAACTAGTTCAAGAGGTTGATGGTGTTGACCATGGCCATACCAAGGGTAGCGCGAGCGGCGCGATCTCACAAAGTGCCAACAATTATGACGCGTGATTTTGCATCTTTGAAAACAAGGTAAGCTCATGTTCTATAGGATTTTTAGAGAACGGGCGCAGAATTTATATCTCGCACAGGGCGCCAACAACGATCTGTTACGTCTCCGTTTGTTAATTAACTTTCCGTAACTTCGTTCCGACGAAACTTTAGCG